TCAATCAACTTCTTGATATTATTTTAAGTTTAAACAATTAAAAACTCGAAAATTACGTATTTTTGGAATAAAATAAAAGAACTTTTTCTAGAAAAAACTCGAGGAATCAAATTCCCTTATTCAATTTCCAAAATAATCAGTGCTTTCAGAATTCTGGGGTTCTTGTTAAAGGTACCTTCCAATATCTCCGCTACTGATTGGCACATATCAGTTCAATGGACTTTTGCCTTGAATTTGCTTGACTCAACACCAAGGTTTATCGGGTAAATGGTGTCATTTAAATTTATAAAGGTATTTTATCCTCTACTTAGCCTCGCTCTTTGGTAATAGTACTATATTGCGACATATTTTCTGTAAACATATTAATATTTTCATTCGGAAACTGAGTACGGTCCTGTTAAACTTCGCGCCGCACTAAGCCTAGTAATTATTTTCTTTATCGGCTTTTTTATTATTCGTCTCAAAACAAAAATAAAAATTTGTCAGTTTTTCGAGAAGTAATCTTAAGATTGGCATTTTACAGACAAGAAATCATACTTAATCTATGAAAAGGTTGAGATACAAAGATTCTTTTAATTTTTCGCAGTGAAAAATCACGGTAAACATGGGCGCCCATGTAAACATCGAAATTTGGTAAAAAATACTCAATAATTACACAAAAAAAAAAATATTTTTTTTCGAGTCTGTAGGTCATACTATGTCTACAATATGTTTTCGGGATCGCTGAATCCGGATCCGTCAATTTCAAAAATATAATGCCAAGTGTAACTTGTTTAATTAAAATAAATTCACTGAAAATTACGCATGAAAACGCCCCCTTAAGAGACCGGTTAAATTACAGCAAAATTGCAGAATTTTACGACAAATAACAAACAAGTCGGAGAAATTTTATCTCTTTCATTTTAAAACTATCGACGAAAAAATTTGATTATTTTAAATTTAGCGTATTCTTCTGAACACGATGAGACGATTTACTTTTTTGTTTTCCAACTATTGCTCTTTAACAGTTCTGTTAGATTTTTATTAGCGATGTCAAAATATTGAAAAATAAAAATGCAATTTTCACATGAATATGATTCAAACTTATTAATTAATTTCAAGAATATCTCGCTTTGTGACAGAGTACATTAGTAAAGTTTGGGTAAACATTTTATTACACTCTGTATACGGTTTAAGAAATTTTCCAATAAATTGGTTCTGAAAGAAAACTGACCCGATTTTTTACCAGGATGAATTATAGATCAACCTGTTTTAATTTATAAGATGTGTGTTTACGTCAAATTCCGCGAAGAGAAATAAATTTTGTGAGCTGCCTACCTCAAATATTTAAAATTATAATACTACTACATTTATCTCCATATTTACTAGCTCTGTAACCCAGCACGATAGCCGTCGTGGTAGTGAATTCAATGTCAGAATTTTACCGCCCGGAACATTAATATTTATGATAATTCTCGATGTTAGTACCCGTATTTGTGGCGGGTTGTCAATTCGTAAAACAAATAAACTCCGCCGCAGACAACGTTTCTGTTGATATATTGCAGAAACGGTGTGTTGTTAACCGATTAAAATTGACATTTAATTTCTTGTTGACACCGTCACAAGGTATAAACTTATAACTTAAAAAAAATGATGATTAAGTTCGAAAAAATCTTCTCAATTTAATGAATTGTACGGGTGAGTCAACGCTGCGGCAAAGTTGATTTATCGCTAGAATATAATTGAGGCAAAATATTTCGAAATAGGTTCGAGTGGAGGGGGGCAAGAAATGAACATTTTAAAAATAATTTTATTCATACAGGGTGATTCGTTTTCGGAGGGCTGACCAAAGTTATGGAATACCCTATATTTGAGTGGATATTTATATTTTACATGGAATTATGCAACTTTTTCGTAATAGGTACTGTGTCAAAAATTTGCCGTTTCCGAGATATTAATATTTTAATATAATAAACGACACTTTCGGCGTTACACTTGATCGTAGCTGATATACTTGATTTTTGAGATACAATCTAAACAATCGTCACACATATTGTACTAGTTTCACCGTAAATTCTGAAGTGGTCACAGTTTATAAATGTCATACAGGGTGTTCACAAGATCGTACCAAATGTTATCTTTTTCAAAGGCAAAACTTTGTTTTTTTTTAAATGGAACACCCTGTATTTTTTAACGGGATATAAAAGAGCTTCTCAAAATCTACAGTAGTAAAATAAGTTACGTATGAAACAGTTCTTAAGGGTGGCTTTTTCTACCCCTTACAACCGTAGAGGAAAATCAACAAATTGTTTTCTGAGTGCCTCTAGCAGAACATTTTTGAGTAGATTGAAAAAAAATATATAGAATTCATTCATTTTTCTGCTTGTTATTTTTTAAATTTCTGAAATCATCCCTTAACTTCTAGCCTCCCTAACTCTGTTAATTTTAATAGTATGTAAGTACAAGAAAAGTCAATTTTATGTAGAGTTTTATGCCCTAAACTTTTATAAGATTTTTTTTCTAACTCTTACCCTTTTTGAGTTATCTTGAAAAACCCCTTTATTTTATCTTTTTTCATCCCTGACCGGGGGTTGAAAAAAAATTACTGTCACTTATTGTTATTATACAGGATGGCCAAATGAAAACGAAACAGAGCCATTTTCAGGAACTGCGTCAAGATTGTAGAAAAACGCTCAGACCCGTCGATTTTAGATTAAAGGAGGACATTCTTTGCTGGTATTTTTGACTCCGCCACTTTCACCCCCAAGCAAGGGTAAGCATCGCCCCAAAATATTTAAATGGCATTGGGGGTTGAGTAATATTTCTTTTGAAAGCTCTTACAATTCTCTTAACAACAGACTTTAAATTTTATAATTCCGCCCAATACTTTGAAAAAAATTTACATTTTAAAATTTAAATTATGTTTAGTTGCTTACTTACTACTTAGTTGATTAAATGTTCAAACTGATGACCGCCCGCTTCCATA